GCCCTGGCAGCCCCAGAGTTGGACCCCTACAGAGAGGTCCTGCAAAGTCTGCCAACAACCTAGTGACAGTGATTCACCCACCAGGCAACTGGCACTGTTTCTAAGCATAGAGAAATTCCAAGACATACAACCAGAGGTCCCCATGAAGCCTGCTCTTTGGAAAGGACATTTACAACCTGGCCAAACAGCCACGGAAAGACACTTCCAGCTGCAAACCAGCAGCGTTCTTAGCTTCTCTCCTTACCTCATCAGGCAGGACCTGCTGCCAAGCTCCCAGCTGCAACCCAAATGGAACAGCTTGAGTTTTAGCAATGTATTTAACAGCCTAGAGACAGAACATGGGCTTGCTGAGAACAAACAGGTCTTGCTTGGCATTGAACAAGAAGTTGCCTGCCTTCTGTGAAAGGGTAAAACCTGCCTGAATGGGGCTGCCAGTGCCCCACTGCAGTCTGTGACCAACTGCAGGGTGACAAAGTTGAGAAGACCTGCATGCTCAACCTATGAGGAGCTGACCAGAGGCTCCAGGAGGCTCTGCCACCAAAGCACATGGATGTCCTCTCAGGCTCATAAGCTGCTGTCATAGCTCATATCACAAGGAAGAGAGGCACCGTACGCTCCTTACCTGATGTCACTCTCAGCCATCACACTGATCTGATCTACCCTAATTCCCCAGCAGTCATCCAGCCCCCACCACACTGTCCTCACCACATCTCATCTGGCTTCCCTCCCACCACTGCCCTATAAAGTGGCCAATGCCAATGTGGGTTACGGAAGGCCTCCTGTGTCTCCACTCCACAGGATAAAGTCCGAACTCCTTAGGCCTTGTAGCCACAGGCCCTTGTGACTGTGCAACCTGGCCCTGCTGCCCTCTGCATCAGCATCTCGCAACTCCTAGTTTCTATCAGCCAAGACTTATTGTGAGAAATGTTTTCCTTCACTAAGAACCTAACAAAGCCCAGATCGATGTTCATCCATACCTACCCTTACACTTTCTCTATCTGGTACCCAAACATGCTGATTTTCACTCTCCCCACATAGGTACCATCAACACCACAAAGTCTCTTGCTTCAGTGCCCAAACAATGAAATAGCAGTCAAAGTCAACATGGAAAAGCCAGGTTGTGTTTTTAGTCATGGTCTTGGCAGCGACTTGGCAGTCTGGTTATGACTAACTCATAAGAAGAACCTAAACACAAGAACTAAATCCATACACCACTATGCTGGATGCATCCATGTACTGCCTACTGCTGTCTTGTTCTCACCCAGCTCCCAGGCCCCAGGCCACCTGCTGTGCCTCAGCCTAGTAGAGACTGTGCAGGCCCTGCCGGAAGCTCTGGTCCTCTCATGACTTCCAGATTCCAGGGTAGCACCCCACTGCTCTCCCCA